TGTATGGATTGTGATAAGAGGTGTATGAGCCCCTAATAAAATGAATTTAAAATTAAAAAAAAAAAAAAAAGTTATGGTCTTGGAAACTCACGGGCAGCTCTTCCCTGTCCTATAGGGTCAGAGTGAGTCAGCATTGACTGGGTAGCAGTGAGTCTGGTTAGGCTGGTCACCCAAGTCGACACGCATCTACCTTCTGGTTAGTCCCCTCCCCTTCTTCCCCTCTCACGTCTGCTAACCTGCAGAGACTTAAAAAAAAAATTAGTATGAAGACCTTCCTTTGACTCTGTGCAGTGGGGTCCCAAACAATGCCTGTCCTTTGGGGATGGGCTCCTTCCACACAGCACAGCGTCCTCCGGGTCTGTCCCTGTCACAAGCTGGCTCTGGATCCAACGTTAGTCCATCACTCCCTCACATGGGGTCACGCTGATCCCACCGTGTGTGCACCAGGCTGTGGGTGTGTCCTCCCACCCTTGGCCCCTGGGTTGGTCCATCTTGCTGGTGGACAGTGCCGCCCTGTCTATCCCTGCAGAGGGAGGCTCTTACTCTCTCGGGTGTCTACCGCATCCTGGGATGACTGGGCCCCGTGGGTTTGCCATTGTCGGGAGGTTTCCAGGTTTCCCCAGGAGCCTTTGGGTGGACTTGGACTTTGACCTTTAGGGAGCTGCTGAGTGGTGTGCCCATGGCTGTGCAGATGTGGGCAAAGGCGTCTGTCCAGAAAGCAGTGTGGTCCAGCCTCTTTCTGCTCAGGGTAGGCTGGCCTACCAAGTGGAGGTCAGGACCGTGTATCCTGAGGACACAGCCCAGGCAGTGGGGGTGGTGGGGAGTAGTGGACAGTGAGGCCCAGCTGCCCTGGGGGATGGCCCACCAGCAAGGCTGGGAGGTCACAGACCAAGAGCCCTTCGGTGTGACCGTAGGGAGGGTGTTGTAGGGGCCCTGGGCAGGGGCTGCAAGCTGACAACCTGGCCCGCTTGCTCCCTAGATGTGAGTCCCATTCTAAGGAGCCTGTTCTGGGAGGGGCAGGAGCCAGTGTCTCTCCCAGTGTGCAGGCTCGTTGACTAGCCCCCTCCTCACTCCCACAGAGTACTCGGTGGCCAGGGTCCTCCCCAGGACCATGAACAGCTCCCACTACCGCTTTCTGGCCCAGGGGCACAGCTATATCGAGATCCCCTACCAGGCCTTCCACAGCCAAGGTGAGCAACGGAACCTACCGGAGGGGAAAGCCTGCCCGTCTCTGGGCTGGGGGAGTGGAGACGTGGGCCCAGGTGCTGGCCCAGGCCCCTCTCCTGTGCCCATGTCACTCATGCAGTGTGCAAACAGGGCTGAGCCTGGCTAGGCCTCTTGAACTGGATTCCAGGTGGGGGCTGGGACTCCATGCCCCTGTGTGAGAAACCCCTCCTTCCCCCATATCCACACAGAGACATGTGATGCTGCCTGCCTCTCCTGGGGCTTAGCACCTTCCTGGGGCTTGGGGGGTGGGGGGTGGGCTGAGGTGTGAGGGGCCTGGGACGTGGCTGAGGCGTGTGGAAGATGGGATGGTGTCTCTGACTGAGTGTGTCTCCTCACAGCCTGGACCACCGTCGTGGGTCTGCTCTACCACACGGTGCACAACTACCTGGACGACATCCACCCGGCTGACACCTTGTGAGTCTTGGGCCACCAGCTCGGGCGGGGTGGGAGCGTCTCGTGTGTGGTTTCCGAGAGCTGGCCATCACTGTGAGAGCTGGGGCCCATCACAGCCCCTCAAGAGCTCAGGGCTGGGCACACGAGGGTGGGAGCTCCCTACAGTGGGGCCTGGGTCATTTCTCTGAGCCTCTGTTTCAGAGAAGTGATAGCAGCCTCAGCAGAGCTCCATGGCTGTGACAGTGGGGAGGGACAGGATTTAAGGGGAGCCCTGTCTCAGTGTATAAACATGGTATCGGACCTCTCACTGCGAGGGGGGTGGGAGGAGCATCTACAGCCAAGGCTGATTCCCATGGGACATGGATGTAGGCTTTCCAGACCCTCTTTGCCCTCCTGTCTCATTCCACCCCACCTCAGTTGGCCTTTGGGCTCTTTGGGGCCAACAAGGGCTCTTTGTATCCTCACTGATGCTGGCCCCAAGCAGGCCCTGCAAAACAGAATTCCATGTCCTCGTGCCCGCCCACAGTGGCCTTAACCTTGGGATCCTCACACCAGCGTCTGGTGTCCCCACAGGCTCTCAGAGAGCTTCGCCCTTAGGTCTCCATCGCTGACACTAGCTCTCCCTGGGTCCCCAGGATCACGGAGGCAGCCAAGCACAGGGGCTGTCTGCTGTCAGCTGCCAGCCTCCTCATCTCCCTGGACACGTCCCCCAAACCTGCTCTGGCCCACAGCCTGTCAGAGTTACCACTGGTCACCGTCCACCTCAAGCACATGCTGGTGAGTTGCTCCACCATCTCGGGGCTCTGGCTCTCTCCGACCGAGTGGACGGGGCAGCTTCAGAGCAGGCCACCGACAACGAGTGACCGTTGTGATAAACGGAGCCACACGCACGTTGGGAGGTTGCCCAGCACACGGTTGAGCCACAGGAGCTAATCCAGAGATTGGTGGTTCAAACCCACCAGCCGCTCTGTGGGAGAAAGATGAGGCCGTCTGCTCCCGCAAAAATGTGCAGCCTCAGAAACCCGTCGGGGAAGTTTCTCTCTGTCCTGCAGGGTCCCTGTGAGTTGGAACCCACTGCTCAGCACTGGGTTAGGTTAGGTTTCTTCTCTGGTAGAAGGAGGCTTGGCGGTGGAGCAGTTAAGTGCTCAGCAGATAATGGAAAAGTCAGGCTTTGGAACCACCATTGTTCCCGGGAAACAGATGCGGCCTCCTGCTCCCGTAAAGATGGAGCCTCAGAAACCCTCGGGGGCAGCTCGGCTCTGTGCTACAGGGCCACTGTGAGTTGTGGCTGTGGCCAGCATTCCGTGAGCCGTGGCCGTGGCCAGCATAATGCAACGCTGTGGTTGTGGAGTGTCCTGGAGTCTGCTCTGACTCACAGTGACGCTGTGCACAGCAGCACGCAGCACTGCTGTCCTGCACCATCCTCACAATTGTTCTTATGTGTGAGGCCGTTCAGCGCGATGTCCTCCTCCCAGGACTGGTCTCTTCATATCTTAAGTTCGTGAGACCAAGTCTCGACATCCCGGCCTGTCCGGTGCATTCTGGCTGTACTTCCCGCAAGACAGACGGGTTGGTTCTTGGACAGTGCACAGTACTTTCAGGGCTCTCCACGCACCGATTCTTCTTTGGCTTCCCTTATTCCCCGCCCAGCCCCCATGCAGTGCAGGAATGGTGGGAGGAGACAGTGTGAGCCCATGTGAAAATGACCCGGTGCAGAGATGCCTACTGTTGGAGGAACCTTCCGCTGATAAACCTCAGAGTGTGGGGAGCGTAGGGAGGGAGGCAGGCCGTGGGCAGCGTCACAGCCTGTGCCACCCGAGCGCTGCTTTTGCCTCTCTGGAATTCGCGTCTTTTGTCTTCGTTGTTACTGAACTCAATGGCAAAGGCTCCCAGTGGCCAGGCATCCAAGGTCGGGCCTGGCTTTCACCCACGTGTGCTCAGCGGCTTCAGGCACCTCTTTGACTTAGGGCAGACGCACACGCACGCACCATGGCGCTGGCGGGGACATCGGCTGCCCCAGTTATCTCGCACAATAGCCATTAGCAAGGTGGAGGAATGTGTTCTGTCCACAAGCAGGTTGCTGAAAGCTGGGGTGAACGGTGGCTTCCGGCTGTGCATGGCGTGTGCAGGCTGTCCCCGGCCAGCTCCATTCCTACCCCTGATCTCCAGCTGCCCTGCCTCCCCAGATCCTGCTGCCTCAGCCCTACCCAGGCATGGTTTACTTGCGAACGAGGTTTGGGGACCTGAAGAATTTCTCCAGGAAGTTGGTGAAAGGTCAGGCCAGTTCTGGGAGCCCTAATAAGACATCTCTGGCCACGATTTCTGCTTCCTTCTCCCTATCTCGTCACACCAGCCTTGGGGGAAGGCCACCGCGAAGGGCTTCAAAGAGCTCCTGGGAGACCGGGGTGAAGGCAAATGGGGTTTTTTGTTGCAGAAACTTTCTGAAGCCCCCTTGTCCATGTGTGGAATGACTACCTGGTTCCCCACCTCTGAGGAGACCACCCCTGGGGTGGGGTAGGGGGTGCTATGTGAGGCTGAGGGCCCACTGGGCTCTCGGCATGCCCCTGGCTTGGGCCTTGCTCCCACAGGGTCGGTGGTCACCACAGGAGGTGGTGGAAACTTATGGGATGGCTCACACAGATGAGTTAGTAAGCACCAATGAGCCCTTGTTTACCTTTCTGACTGGGCTCTTTGTCCCCGTCAGGAACTGTGAATGAGAAGAGAGGCTTGGATGCAGTAGGAAGGGGCAGTGGGAGGAGAGAGACAGACAACAGCCAGACTTAGGTGCAGAGTCTCGGGTGTGGTGGATGCATGCCCGAGTGTTCCTTAGAGATGATAGGTAAGCACAAGGGTCCTGTGCTTACCTTGCGTACCGGACCCCTGACACCTTGTATACCAGACCCGGGACACTGGCTTTCCCAACACTGGTCCCCACATTTTTACTGGGTGCCCAACATGCCCCCAGACAATGTCCCCCACACCTGTCACGGAACTCCTGACACTGGGCCCCACACCTGCTACTGACCTCCTGACACTGCCCCCACACCTGCCACGGAACTCCTGACACTGTCCCCCACCTGCTATAGTTTACTGATCCCCCGACACTGGCTCCCTGACCCTGTCCCCCCCACCCACCAGAGCGACTGAGAAGGAAAGCTCCTAGCTGCCCCCGTGCTCCCTCAGCTTCACTCTCGAGTCCGCCCTTAGTATCCGCATTCAGTTTCTCTCTGAATGTAAAGAAGGCGAGCTGTCAGCTGCAGGCCATGCAGCGGTCACCTTAGAGACATGGTGACCATCCAGATGGTCCGATGGAGCCCAGAGTCAGCTACCCAAGGGCCACAGAAGGTGGGAACAGCTCTGAGTGGACCTGGGAGCAGGTGTGCGGAGGGGGCAGCCGAGTGTCCAGCTGCTGTCCGGTTGACCTGACCCATGATGACCCTGGCCCGCCAGTGGGCCAGAGATGGCCAGGCCTTTCTCCCAAGGGGCCTCAGGGTGGACGCCACGCACATGTGTGCAAGGTCTCCCACTGGGTGTGGACGCCCTTTGTCAGCTCTCCAGACCTGCCCCCTGCAGGAGGGGGATGGCAGCTTCAGTGACTGAGAGAGGTGGACAGAAGCTTTGGGTGGCTGAGGAGGGGGACGATGGCTTTGGGTGGCTGAGGAGGGGGACGATGGCTTTGGGTGGCTGAGCGGGTGGCCGGTGGCTTTGGCGGCATTTCCAGCCAGGGACCCTCACGGGAGGTCGGGTCAGCTGTGCTTCCTGAGACACCTCTGGGGGGTGGGGGGTGGGGGGTGAGGGTGCCCGCCCTCCAGGCCTGTGGGTGTGCGCACTCTACAGGGCAGGGGCCTGTGACAAGCATTTCTCTGGCCATCAGTGCTGGCTGGTGTGTTGGGTGTGAGCCCTGGGACAAGCCGGCCTTCTGGAAACACACTCAGTTCCAACTGTAGGCTTGGCCGGGTGTGGAAGGACGCCCTAGCCCCCGTGTGCCCCGTCCCGCCCTGTTCCTGCATTCTTCAAGGAGAAGCGAGCAAGGTGCCAGTCAGCGTGGAAACCAGAGAAGGGGCAGCACTGTGGGTGACTGCTGCAGCCGCTATTTTTAACCAGGCTCTCCCCTTCCTCCCAGGGAGGGTAGCAATTACGGCCTGCCCGCCTGGCACTCCGGGACTTTGGGGTTTTCTGTTGAAGCCACTTTTACATTTGGAGGCGGTTTTGCCCCAACATGCTCATCTTAGTGAAAATGGTCTGTCTGGTGGGGAGCGGTCTCTGTGGCAGCCCCACTGGCGCTGCGTGGGGGTAGGGGTGTGGGTGTGGCAGGGGAGGTGGGGGTGCACACATTGCCCCCTGTTTGGCGAGTGGCAGTACGGAGCTGCAGCCACCATACCCAGCGTGGCGATGGGGGAGAGGTGCTGTGGGGCAGAGATGCTAGGGGATGGCAGGTCTCCAGGAGTTGGTAGGCACCCTCATCAGCCTGCTGCTGCCATTGCACCACCCTGCCACAAGAGGCCACTGTTGGAGACGCATCTGCACAGCTCGGCCGCTGAGTGATAAGCAGCTGGCCTTTGCCAGGGCTCTCGCTGTCAGCCATGGGCAGATTGGACCGTGCTATGGCCCTCTGATTTTCCTGGGTGGGGCCTGTCTCTGCTCCCGGGGGGCGGGGGTGTGGGGGGCAGGTGTCTGTGCACAGCAGATACTGATCTCTCCCTGACTCTGGAGGGCAGAAGTTCACATTCACAATGTCTACAGGTCCAGGCTCTCTCAGTGGGCTCTAGACCACAGATTCCCAAACTTATTTAGCTCCTGCCCCATTTTCAGGAAACAAACCAACAAAAAAAAAAAATTACTCCTCCCTGGCCCTTGAAAACGTTTATGCTCTGGCCCATCATCCAGGGTAAAGTGTAGGTGTCTCAGCACTGCCCCCCAGGAGGTGGTATCACCCACTCTGGACATCTTCCCTCGCCCTCTCAGCCCTATCCCGGTCCCTCTTGGCCTCTCTCATCTCTTGGCCACTTCCTGCTGCCCATTGCTTTCCGTGTCGCTCTTGTGTAAGGACACCATTCCAACGGGGGGAGCCCTTTGGGGTCCAGGCGACTCTGGTTTGACCTCATCTTAACCTAACTGATAGGTAGCATCTGCAAAGATCCAATATCCAAACAAGGTCCCATTGGTCAGGGGGCTAGGCTTGCGCATGCCTGCGTGGGGGGCACAATTTGATCTCTAACAGAGCCACATCCCCGGGGTTGGTCCTTGCCTGTGCAGGTGGGGTTGTGGGTGGGTGAGTGAAGCAGAGGTCTCCAGAGCGAGCCTTCTCCTGGCTGAGTTCCTAGTGGCCGGGGCCCCTGAATGCCAAGCCTGGGGACACCCGTTCACTTCTTGACCAGCACCACATCTGGGCCCTGTGCGGTCACAGCTCTTTGCAGGAAAGTTGAGCCACGGGGGTGACCTTGGTTCCAGGCTAGAAGGATGTCCAAGGGATCATGGCTGTGTGAAGACAGAGGCAGGGCTGGGAGGAATGTGGACACCTTGGGGGAGTGTGGACTAGATTTCCCAGAGGCCCACAAGAAAGCCACTCGGCCGACACTGGCCCCAGGTCTTGAGGAGGACAGTGTATGTGCTTTGTTTGGGGCACCGACTGTCACAGGACTCCATCCAGGAAGGGCCCTCTTGGAGCCCGTCCCATGCTGTCCTGGGACACAGAGGTGTCACTGTGAGCTGAAGGAAGGCCTGGCTGACAGGGAACCCTGATGTGCAGAAGATGGTCTTTCTTGGGTTTGAGCCAG